CTGGGAACATGAGGAAATGCTACTTCGCTGTGAAGGTGACAGAGCACTGGAACAGGCTGCCCAGAGAGGTGGTGGAGTCTCCTTCCCTGGAGACTTTCAAAAGCCGCCTGGACTTGTTCCTGTGTGATCTGCTCTAGGTGATCCTGCTCTGGCAGGGGGTTGGACTAGATGATCTCTAGAGGTCCCTTCCAACCCCACTCACACTGTGAAATCTGTTACAGGGAGATATTGGTATTATGCTCTACTCTTCAGGCATCCTCTTATACATTACGTCCCTTCTCAAGTCCACGGCTATTCACGCACTGCAATTGTACGTGAAAAATGAGTACCTTGCACGCCAAAGACAAAACATCTTCCACCCTGTGCTCTGGCTTGAGGGTCAGCGCCACTCCTTGTCCATCACAGAAGTGAATGTAAGTTTGTGTTTCCCAAGCACTCTCCTTCTGCATGCTCTCTGGCACTGAGCAGTAGACATTTAAAAAGTCATCCACTTGCTGCTGCAAACAAGGGAGAAACATACAACATAAGTGGGTATTGCAAAAAAACCCCAAAGTACAATCACATTGGCAGTTTGCAGTGGATATGTGTTTAGACATGGGATTCTGTATTCCCCCATGGCAAGACAGGGACAAAGTCCTGTTACCTGCTCTCATTCACTATTAAGACTTGATTTTCTTGAAAATGGACTGCACTTCCTCTGCATTCCCATTCATAGGCTTTTACAGCTTCATCTCAAATTAATTGTTGGTTTAACTCCAACTGAAAATATGTAGCTGCCTGATATTAGAACACAGTGGGAATAAATTCTTAAGAAGAACTGACTACTACAGTTTTACCTAATTAACAAATGCAAAACCCCCCAGAAATACTGCAATTTTGACAGAAAATGATAATATAGTAATCTTCCAGCAGAGAGCACTGTGGAGCAAGGCTTGTCATAACATAATAAAGGACTAAAGCATTGTATTTACAGTTTAAGAACATACTGTTTCATAGGTAGCACAGGGTATTTGCCTATTTACTATTTTGCTTCACATTCATCCTCTTCCCAAAGCCACTCGGCTTGATCAAGTAACTACATCCACCCAGACTAAATTCCCTGTCACTTCCTCACCCTTCATCTTCACACTTTTTCCCCATACTGCACTTGAGGCTACACGCTTCAAAGGAAGCCACACAAGGAGAAGAAAAACACTGAGAGCAGGCCAGAATTTGGAGTTTCACCTATATATTGGGTCTGACTATTCAGCACGTCACCTAAAGAGCCATATCAAGGCATTTGAGTTTATACAGACAGGGTTCCTAGATTCCCCTTGCAGTCAGAAGAAAGGGACAATAAGCCCATACAGTGGCAGAACTGTCACCCAAGACAAATCTTACGATATCCTGAGCCATTCTCAGAAGTGACAACCTCTCTAATGCTTTTCCTTTGTATTTTTGCTTCTTTGGTTGGTTGGGTTGGGGGGTTGTTGCCTTCATAAAGCCCCTTAATTATGCAATTCTTCCTCCTGGCTCTGCGGGGACACAAGCCCAGGGGTGCACTGCAATTAAAAGCTGCAGTAAAAATACTGCACAGGGACTGCTTCCCTTGCTGCAGGCAGAAAAGTTATTGACAACAATCTACCGGTAGCAACCAAGAGATCAATTTTATTTTGTTTTTCCAAATAACAACCATGGCTGTGAAAATGATGTAGTAAGCAATCCTATCCAGGTAATTACCAAACAATGCAGAAATTCAGGTTGCAGCCAACCAGAGTATGGCACAGTAATAATTTGATGCCAGAGTAATGCTGGTTTTGGCAGAATATTATTAAGGAACTAATGGTATTTACAAACCTTGTATCTCTTGCTCAACTGTCCATTTTAACTAGCAGAAAATGAAGCTTCAATTAACACAGGTCTGTGGGAATTCTACTAAAATCCAGCAACTACTACACATAAGAGGAATCCTGTTATGCTACTGCAATTAAGGGAGTGATGAAATCTACACCAGGCCAAGTTTCACTCACAACACTGGTGGTGTTGAAGAAGATAATTCCTGTAGAAGTGTGGTCCTCTCAGAAAGCACTAAATCAAGTGTCTGGGAATAAACACTGACCTCTTTCCTTGGTGTAAATAACAGAAAGGAGAAAGGGCAAAACAGGCAGACTGCAAGAGCTTAGAAGGAATAAGACAGACCGAATTCCCCAGTTGCTTCGTCCAGGGAAAACTGATGCTCTGTTGCCTCAGCTAAAGAGATGCTCCCAGCAGCTCAGAGCCCTGCAACTATCACAGTTGTTTATTGCACTGCAAGACTGCGTCTTCAAATCTGTGCAACTGAAATAAATCTCAGTATTGCCAGAGATAAAAAAAGAAAAAAAAAAAAACCCAAACCCCAAAACAGAGGATTAAGGTGATGAGAAATAGGTTTAAGGCCACCTTTTTTCCTGACGTTTTTAAGACAGGGCAAAAAGTTCTGTAGCCAATGTGAGATACTTCCCTTGCCTTGCCACGTACGCTGGTGCTCAAGCATACGCCTTGAGATAAACTCGCCTCTGTTATTAAGCATGACTATGTTCCTTAACTGCAGTCAAGGTACTGTTGCTTCATCCACATTTTCCATCTCAGAAAATCTGACTTGAAAAAAGATATTTTTTTTTCCTGTTATGCCTGCAGTGACTAATTCTACAATAGTTCATTCATTCACTGCCACATAAAGTTATAACAACCCATCCAATTTTCCAGAAACAGGCGCCAGGATTTGCAGACTGTCACACGTTGTGCCACAGGGTTGCTGCAGCACCAATAGGTTACTTCATAATTTCCTCCCACTATTTGTCTCTGGTTTTATCATCCTTTTCAGGGAAAATACAGCCTCCTTGGCAGACTTCACTATTCGTCATTTGCTGCACTCGTCAGGTAGCATTTTATAAAAGTTTTGATGCTGTTTTTGTTTTTCATTTGAAATCAGCCAGTGATACCATGCTGATGCCAAAGTAACGGTTTTCAGAGTTATGATGAATCATTTCTGAGTTGTTGTATGATTCATCAAAATGTCAGGATCTTAAAAATGCCCACGCTATATTTAATTCCCATTAAAAAAACTTTCAGAAATAAGGTTGAGATAATAATAATGTTTTTCTAGAAACTTAGTTCCAGAGCTCTGCTTCAGCACCTAAATTGGGTTGGGTCTTTTTGTGTGTGTGTGTGTGTGTCTTGAAACACAACCCTGCTTAACTTCGTAAATGGCTGGGCCAAAATTTGCGGAGACATTGCCCTCCCCACCAGTCCCCTTGCTCCAGGGAATGGAGCTGCAAGCCCCTACCTGAATCTGGAGTAGGCTGCTTTCATCCAGAGCCACGTCAAGAAGCCAGACCTTGTCCCTTCCCTGACATGGAACCAAAGGCAAAGGACTTTTTTTAAATCCCGCCTGCTCCCTGGCACTTTCAAAACCTTTCTGTGTCTCCTCAGAAGGGCTCAGGAAGAGCAAGCACCGCTGTCAGGGCAGAGGACAGGACACCCACAGCAGACTCCATTGCACAAGGCAGCGCTGTTGACCTCCCAAATCCACGGGGGTCGGTGCTAAACCAGGGGACTGGCACCACAGTGCTTTGGAAGAAACCTTCAGGGAATGCACCCAAGAGATTTTAGCTTTTCTCAGTTCACGACAGACCAAACCTTCCTGCTTTAACAGGATTGGACAGGAGCTAACTGCATTTGCTGCCTCTGAGGTGGGAAATGGATGCCATCTTGCACCACACCCAGTGGTACATTCTGGAGGAATTTGTAAGTGTTCTCAACAGGAGATCATTTCACCCAGAAATCCCTCAGAGCTTATTTTGAAAAAAGAGGAGTGATTTGGTGTAAATCCTTTCCCACCCCAGGAAATAACAAGCAAGTGGTCAAGTAACTGAGGGAATTCAGGTGTTTCAATATGCTTCTTCAAAGAACAGATGAGCTGAGAAGATACTCTCAGGAGGCAAACCAGCATTATACAATTAGCTGCTGTCAGTGGGAGATGCCTCCCTCAGTGATTTAAGTAATTTAAGTAATTTCCACAGAATTATGTAATTCTTTCTTACCTAGCCATTACATGAATGCACTTGATGAGAAAATAAAGCATGTAGCACATAATGATACAAAAAACCAACATAAAAACCTATGAGAAATTAAGAACTTGGTCCAAACCTTCCTCACAAGATTAGTTACAGCTCTTTGTTACAGCTAATCATTTTCAAGAGCAGTATTTAATTTTAAATGCAGATTTTGACTTTTTGTCTAACACCTGGTACATAAACTCCGCTGAAAGGGAACTGTATTGCAGCTTTTTTTTTTTTTT